TGATTCTGCAGATCCATTTTTTGATCTTATAGAATTTGTTTACCTGGATATGGTGAGCAACCTGTTCAATCCTGAGTACTTTGAGGCCATAACAATTATTGCATCGGCTAATGAAAGTGTCGGTTTTGTGAATGATCATTTTTTGTCGCTCATAACTGGAGAAGAGAAGGTTTATTTGAATTCCGATAGTGTGTACAATGATGAGTTAGTATCATAGATCCGAGTTCCTCAACACCATATCGTGCTTCAGAATTCCACCTAGGTTGCATTGAAAAGATGTATTCCCGTTATGCTCATAAAAAATATTGATCAGGCTAGATGATCGTGCAGTGGAACTAGGCTTCAGGTTATTAATATGGGAAAACACGTTCTCAAATGCAAGACACTACCCAATAAACATGTTGACCATATAGTGTACGTTCATTGCTCAAATGATATTGGTACCGTCCAACTCTACATCGCCTATTAAATTTTAGCAACGTCAGTCTTCGGCGATGGTTTCCTTTGCAATAACAATCAATAAAAGTTAAAGACAAACTCTTTCCCATGTAGTATTGCACTTGCTCAGACATGTTTTCAGTCATGGACAACTCTATGTCGCACTCTCGAGAATTAATAGTTGAAGTGGCATAAGGATTTTGATCACATCGGAATCTGGCGATACAACCAACTACAAATAATGTGGTACATGGATGTTTTTCGGCATATATGAAGGTAACTATATAAAATCTTATACAATTTTACATAATGACCTTTATTTTGTATAACTTATATGTTTTGGCATTCCTCATTTGTAGGTTAATTTGCATTGTACTAGGAACTTGCTACGGGCTCCACTCAATATTTTTATCAAGGTAATTTATTGTAGAATGATTTTATGTCATTAAATATTTATATTTGTATTATTTTGGTAACGTTTTACTTATTTTGTATAATCATTGTACAAAATAGCAGGTCAATTGCATTGTATTGGATTCGTTACATGCGTTTAGGGATATTGTAGCTGAAACACGCTCAAATAAGCTTCAACGAATCAGTGAGCTCCATCCTCTTTACTTGCCTCTACAGTATCCTCTTTTATTTTCTTACATGGAAGATGATTATCGAGACAATATTTGTTTGAGAGAATCTTCGCTTGCTGATAATAGAAAATGGAGGAAGGTAAGCATGCGAGAGTTCTTTGCATATCTAATCCAGAAACGGCGTTGATAACATTTGTTACTTTTGCATTTCAAGAAGTTATTTCAGCAGTTCTGTGTTGATGTATTTTCGATGGTAGAGTCACAGAGGTTGAATTTCATAAGATTCAATCAAGATCAACTTAGGGTTGACATGTACAAGGGTATCGAAGAAAATATTTTTAAAGGAGACACTGAGGGTAAATCAATTGGACAACGCATTATAATTCCAGGGTCGTTCACCGCAGGTCCAAGGTATATGTTTAACAACTTCGTTGATGCTCTTCAAATATGTAGCTGGATTGGATCTCCAACCCTCTTCATTGCCATCACATGCAATCCTCAATGGCCAGAAATACAAAGGGTGTTGAAAGATACAAATCTCAGGTCGGAGGATCGGCCAAACATTCTTTGTCGTGTGTTCAAGATGAAGCTCGATAGTATGATGACAGAAATCAAGGAAGGTTGTATATTCAGACGTATTACAGCATGTAAGTATTTAATTAGATCTCAGTTTATAATTATACATTTACTTCATTCATATAAATTAAAGAATTTGCTCATGTGTGAGTTTAACTACTTATTGCTTCCTTAACTAAATTAATGCATATTTTTTTAATACCATATGTTTATATTTTCTATGCAGATGTATGCTTAATTGAATTTCAGAAACGAGGTCTACCGCATGCACATATTTTATTGTAGTTTCATAATGACGATAAGCCCAATAACCTAGAAGAAATTGATAGGATCATATGTGCTGAAAATCCCGACGAAGTAAACGACTGAAAGATGTACCAGTTGGTGGAGAAGTATATGATACATGGACCGTGCGGTCAGGCGAATTTGAAATCTCCCTGTATGAAGGATCGAGTTTGCACGAAGCGATTTCAAAAGCCATTTGTGCAGCGCACTGAATCAGATGCAGATGGTTTTACTGTGTGCAAGAGAATGGAAGATGGCAGAACAGTTACGAAGAAGAAAACTACTCTTGACAATGGGTTTGTAGTCCCGTACAATCGTATATTGTTGAGTAAATACCGATCTCACATTAATATCGAGTTATGCAACCAGAACAAGTCAATCAAATACATGTTCAAATACGTAAACAAGGGGCATGGCCGAGTTACGGCGGCATTTTACGAAACACGCAATACAGATGGCGGTGCTGAGATTTGTGATGAGATAAAGATGTACCACGACTGCAGATATCTTTCAGCATGTGAGGCAATGTGGAGGTTTGCGAACTTGGGTTAAAAGAGGATTCTCGAACTTGGGCGCCAAGGAACAAAAAGATCTTCTATTGGTAGGCTTGCGAATGTTCCCCCTGGAAAGGGTAACGACTAATACCCTAGATTGCTAATTAACATTCAGAGGGGATATACGTGCAACGAGGACATCAGAAAAGTTTTTGACACCGTCTACCCTACGTTTAGGGATGCATGTTATGTGTTGGGTTTATTAGATAACGACAAAGAATACATATAGTCATTAATAGAAGTGAATACTTGGGCACCGATGGATTATATAAGAAGGTTATTTGTAGTTATGCTTCTTTCCAATAGCTTAAGTCGGCCCGAACATGTTTGACAAAGTTGTTGGTTGGATTTGGCTGAGGGTATTGCTTACAAACAACAAAGTCTTCATACTAATCCAGGTATGGCAATTTGTATAACACATTATTCAATTAGATTTTAAATATTACTCATCCTTTTAATATTGTCGTTTTGAACTAAATGCACATAATTTATCCATTTTTTTTTTTTGAAAATTTACATATATGGGATGAAAGCTTGAAGAACTATACTCTCACCGAAATAGAAAAAATATTGCAAAGCAATGGTAAAAGCTTGCGAAATTACGCGCCCATGCCAGTTCCAATCGAATTCTCAGCGGATGACACAGTAAACATATTGGTATTAGATGAACTGGATTACGACCGCTTTGAAATGGGTAGGGAACTTCAACGGTGTCTTGCTTGAATTACAGACGTGCAAACAAAGGTTTATGATGTAGTCATGGATGTTGTATCCAATGACCGTGGTGGAATGTTCTTTCTATATGGCCATGGTGAAACGGGAAAGACGTTTCTATGGGTAAACTCTTTCTGCTGCAGTTCATTCCAAGGGAGAGATTGTAATTAACGTTGAATCGAGTGGTATAGCATCGTTATTGCTCCCCGGTGGAAGAACAACTCATTCTCGATTCGGACTACCCATAAATGTACACGAGAGTTCCACATGTAGCATATCGCAACAAAGTCCACAGGCGGAGTTGTTCATAAGGGCAAAGCTTATTATATGGGACGAGGCTCCTATGATGCATAGATATTGTTTTGAAGCGCTTGACAAGACAATGAAGTCAATATTACAGGTTGACAAACTCTTTGGTGGAAAGATGGTTGTTTTTAGAGGAGATTTTAGGCAGATTTTACCAGTTGTGCTCAAAGCATCAAGGCAGGACATAGTACATGCTACGATAAACTCCTCTTCGTTGTGGAATTTCTGTCGTGTCATGAAGTTGACTAAGAACATGAGATTGCAGTCATGCTCTTCTCCATCTAACGTGGATAAGGTAAAAGAATTTGGAGAGTGGATACTGAAGGTTGGTAGTGAGGATATTGGGGAACAAAATCATGGTGAAGCTTCGATAGTGATTCCCGATGACATGTTGATTGGTGATTCAGAAGATCCATTCAGAGACCTACTGGAATTCGTTTACCCGGATTGTTGAGTAACATATATGATCCGGATTATTTTCAAGGGAGAGCAATTCTTGCACCAACTAATGAATGCGTCGAGTTTGTGAACGATCACTTAATGTCTCTCATTCCAGGAGAGGAGAAGGTGTACCTGAGCTCAGATAGTATGTTTAGGGACGAGCAAACAATGAAGGATAATGCATAAATTTATTCGACTGAATTCCTCAACACAATAAGATGCTCCGAACTTCGTTCTCATGCGTTGAAGTTCAAGATTGGTGCACCCGTTATGCTAATAAGAAACATCGATCAAGCTAAAGGATTGTGTAACGGGACCAAACTTCAAATTATTAGAACTAGCATTCACGTTCTGAGTTGCAAAACTCTTTCCGGAAAAAATATCGGTGACATGGTGTTCATTCCTCGGATGACTTTAATACCATCTACCGGACTGCCAATTAAATTTCAGAGAAGACAGTTTTCGTTGATTGTTTCTTTTGCAATGACGATCAATAAAAGCCAAGGTCAAACTCTTTTGCATGTTGGTTTGTATCTTCCTCAGCATGTCTTCAGCCATGATCAACTATATGTTGCACTGTCCAGAGTTAAGAGCAGAGGTGGCATTAAGATATTCATCAAGTCGGATTCGGGTGAACTCACCAATGTTACTAGAAATCTCGTGTACAAGGAAGTATTTCATCGAATTTGAAGGTAGAGAATATTTTCGTATTTACCAATTATTCATGTAACATGTTTTTTATTTTATTTTTAAAGAACTTATTCTTTTGCAGGTGTTTCTTATCTATATATTTTCCCCGGTGCGATGTTATTTTCAGTCATTTCCCTATGGTGCTCGGTGCAATTCTTATTATCTTTAAGATTTATTTTTGACGATATACTAATATTTAATAGTATTCTTATATTATAACTATGAAGAACATGACACTTATAACATATTTTTATTATCGTTGGTCGATTACGTTATGTACTTAGATTCAGTGACCGTAATAATTGTTATCTGCTTAAATTTATTTTTGAGACATGTATTTTCAGTCAAAAATATGTCGCCCGTGCATCGCACGGGTGAATACTAGTTTGACAAAATTAAAAATACTCCCACAAAATCCCATAAAATTCATTGAATTATTAACCAACCTTAAAACAGTGTAATGGTGATGACATACAAATTGAATACAAGAAGGTTAAAAAATTCATATAAAAAAACATAAAATGGGACCCAATAAATTATTTTCACATCAAATAGTTTCGCCGGAGTAGCTGCAAACAGCACCGGTCGGAGATGGTCAACGGTGAAAGCGTTGACCCTGTTGAAACAATCATCAGATGTTCCGTGTAACAACTCTTCCCCCTTCAGTTGTGACCTAATTGCGAAGAGATTATTAATTAATAATCTCGAAAAAAATAGAAGCTTCAATTCTTGAAAACAAATTTAAACAAGTGCAGGGGAATAACTCGAGTACCGGAAATTTGAAATTTCTATTGACGAGGCTCCACCAAGACGTACAATGGCTTTCCATCCAACATTCGTCGTTCCTAGACCAAATTTTCCGAAATTAATTTCCACTATATACAGGTAAACCTCTATAAATTAATACGGTCGGGACTAACAAATTTCTATTAATTTAGCGAAATATTAAATTATCGAACTAATAATTTACTACATTTTTACCCACTCGGGACCATAATATACTATTATTTAAACGAGATTATTAATTTATCGAATATTAATTTATCAAGGTTCTACTGTATGCGTAATTACACAAATCAGCAGATGCCAGATAGTATATAAAATCTCAAAATGTTCGAAAATTTAGTCGAATAAAAATAACGATATGCAGAACCTTTTCAAGATGCGAAAGTGAGTTAAAGTAAAAATTACCTTAATCTCTGGCACACCAATAACACATGCACATTCGACAACCTCGGCGCCACCTCGTTCTACGTAATTTTTTAAAAAAAATTATGATTATTATTAGTGTGATTTTGAAGTTAACATATAATTGCAATAAAATTCGGAAGCTCACCCAAAAGGCGAATGGCGGCAGAAAGGGTCCCACCGGTAGCCACCAAATCGTCGATAACTAAAGCACGCTCTCCCTTTTCAACAGCACACTTATGCATTTCCAAACAATCGTTACCGTATTCGAGTTCATAAGCTTCAGAAATAACTTCACCTGGAGCAATAATACAAAAAATCATTAATAATTTCGAACAATTAGGTTCGATTTAATCGTCTCTAAAGTAAAGTATTCGCCCGGACGACATAATTATTTTATTACATGACCACCTCATCCAAAAGTTTAAGCTGTTATCAAAGTGAATCGTCCACATCATGTAGAAATAGCAAGAATCTTTCGAGTTTTTATTTTTTGCGAAAAATCAAGATTGAATTTTTAGTTATTACCTGGGAGTTTCCCCGGTTTACGCAACGGAACGAATTTGGCACCGATTGCCAATGCAATCGGAGGAGCAAATATAAACCCTCTTGCTTCAACTCCTATACAACAAAATTAAACTATCACAATTTCAGACAAGTAACTAACTAATAATCCTTAAAAAAAATCAATGTAATTGAAGTGTCATATTGCACTGCACTTACAAACATCTACCGTTGATCGAATTTCGTACAAAGTTGCTAAATCTTTTCGGGTTAATTATAAAGATTAATCCAATTAATTAAAAAAAATGTAAATTAATTTGCATGCATTTCTCAGCATAAGTCAAGTACTCAACAACCCAACATAAATTCATCATCCCCATAATCATAATTCAATAAAAAAAATTAAATAAAAAAAATAAGCAGAAAAAACCTTGAAAAGGTGAGAAAAAACACATTACCAGCAACAATAGAGATACCCATGTCTCTGTATCTATCAACAAATATATCAACAGTGTGCTTGAAGGCCTTGTGATTGGAGACAAGGGTTGTTATATCTTGAAACATAATTCCTGTAAAGAAAAAAATGAAAAAATAATTAATTAATTTCAATAAAAAAAAAACAGAACTTTTTTCCATGGAATTTTCTTCCCACTACAATTATATTTATAAAAAATAAAAATAAAAATAAAAAAAAGATTGAATTTTGAAGTGGCCCAATTAGGGATATTCATTGAGGTGGAAAAGAAAGACCTGGTTTAGGGAAATTGGGGACAACACTAATTGCATCAGAAATGGCCTTCAATCTTGGGTCACCCCTTAAACCATTTTCTGCTGCAAACATCTTTGGGGGTAAAATTTCTTGTGCCTGTTTCTCTCTCTTCTCTCTCTCTCCTCTCCTCTCTCTCTAGACAATGGAAAAACAGAGTTGTGGGAGGAAGTGAGAGAAAGTGAGAAACTAAGTAAGTATTAAAGACTGTATCTTTGAGTTGGTGGACAAAAGCTCCACTGAGGAAGATCCAATTGCTCAGTGGTGCTATTATTTATATACACCAACCTTTTTTTATTTTTTTATTTTTTGTTTATATAAATAATTTTCTGGTGGATATATATAGAAATTGAATTGTTTGTATTTCAGCAGAGAGAGAAAGGGCTGGCTGGTATCCAATGCTTTTGATGGGTACTTGAATGCTGTGTGTCCTTTCTTTTTTTTCTTTTTCAACTAACAATTTTAATTTTTAGACAGTGAGGTCTTGTCCACTCACTAATATCACAATACTCTTTTTTTTTTTTTTTTTTTTTTTTTTTTTTATATATAGATATATACATAATTTCTTTTTTTTTTGCTAATTATTTTTAACAATTTACCATCTTGAAGTCGAAGAGTTTAACACGAGAATGAATTTCTTCATACCGAAATCCTTTGTTTTGTATTTATTTTTCGAGGAATTCCCGTAACTCTCTAGTAATCTTTATGTTACATTACACACTTTACAATGTATCCATTTCTAGGGCATGTTTGGATGATAAAATGTGCTCGACTATATATAATCCAAATTTATCACGTGTTTGATTTTCTTAACCATGTTTTTGAATAGATAAAATTATCCGATATCTAATCATCACGTCAATTAATTATTTGTCCACACAACTCGATTGGGATTAGGGCTTGCAATTTGGTGATGTGAGTTGAGTTTTGGTCAACTCAGCTTCTGTACCATTGAATTTCGTTAGTATGACATCAAGTTCGGCTTGCGTACTTTTTTCGAATTTCGAATTTACATTGGGCTTTTTAGTATAGGCGAAAAGCTTATATACCTTACTTTTTAAGAAATGACATTCGGGCCCCTGCAGTTTACAAATTTCTTACATTAATGAACCTACAAAGGATGTTAATGTAAGAAATCTACAAATTGCAGGTTAGAATGTAATTATGAAAAATAATGAGGGGGTTTTCGTAATTAGAGAAAGAAAATTAAGCGATATTAATTACAAGGCACGTGGCTGATTTAGGAGCTGAGCAATAAGATACGCAACCGCAGAGAATTACGGCTCCTGAATCCTGATTGGCAGAAAATCACGTGGCAGGGTCAGGAGATTCGGGATGGTCCCCCTTTATCTACCTAGACTTGGTGACGTGGCAGGGGTCTTATCAGGTGACCTCAACCCCATCCCAGATCTATCCACGTGGCACTTCCTCTATATGTGTGGTCACGATTTCTTGTCAGGTCTAGAATGGGCCTTCTGATTGCGTGAAAGGAAATGCCTATCACTTTTGGAATTTTTGGATCTCGTGTACATGCATCACACACTGTAATTTCTTTTTTTTTTTTTTTAAATATAATAATTTTATATATATATTTTTTAATTATATATTTCCCTCCCGCCAAACTCATATTTTGAAATTTTTTACTTGAAATTCGAGTTATTTCTATGCAACATTCGATGAAAATTATGCTGTGTGTGTTTCTACCGTTAATTTACACACATTAACGTGGGTGTGTATTTGTGTCTATATAACCAATAAAGATCCAGTGTATATCACGCGATGTAGCATAGTGTAAAACGTGATTGCATGATACAATTTTGTATTTCCAAATTCGTAGCAATCATTTTTGAACCTATTTCAGTGAGCAATGTTTTTTGTAAATTTTGGAGTCTTTAATCTTAATGGGTTTTAAATCCATCTTACTTGAATTTAATTTGAAATTGTGTTGCACTATTTTTGCATATTATGTCGGTTTATTCCGATTTAATATGGAAGTGGAGATAAAAAATGTAAAAGAATGTCAGATTTCCCTTTGGTTTAACTTGTAATTATTTCAGTGCTTTGCACGGGCTAGCATTTCAAAAGAGAATAAAATAATTATTTAATTATATAAAAATAAATTTTGTAAAAGTCTTGAAATATTTATTTTTGATATTTAAACTATATTACTAGCATTAACATTCGTACGAATATGATGATCAATTTTTTTTTACGAAGATGCCATTAGAATTGTTTAGAGCTAACCTAGAGGTTCTTTCTTTTATATATAAATATTTAAGGTTTCAAGTAACGAAAGGTACTTTGAAATGAAATTGTTACTTAAACTTTCGCGTTGGAAAAATGATTATTTGATGAGTTTAAATCCACTTTTTAGTAAAGTTAAATTTTAAGGGAGGTTTCTGTCATATTTCTAAATATAATGGATCTATGCATAATTATACCTAATTTTAGGGGAAGACCATGTAATTTAGGTAATATTGGATTAAGAACCATAACAAAATTTCAAAAAGTCAACGGTTAGATGAATTAACTATTACCTAATATAAAATCTTAAGAGGGCATACATAATCTTATATCTTATATATAAAAGAAAGAAATGTTGGGCAACCCTAAAAAAACCTAATGGTATTTTTGTAATTATTTATTTTTAATATTTTTTCTCTACTAATTTCTAACTATAATTTTTAACAATTATCAAAATTAAAACTAACCCGTGAAGAATCCTACCCTATTGTCTATTGGTACTTATGTGATTATTTATTTTAATATTTTTTCTCTACTAATTTTTTAACTATAACTTTCAACAATTACTAATCTACTAATTATCTAAGGTTTAAAAAACTAATGTTATATAAAATATGAATAATACTACATTATTAAATTTTACTATGTTAGCATACTATATTTTATTTTAATGTATTAAATTGAATTTTTTTTCACTTTTTAAATAATATTCTGTGCATCGCACGGGAAAAAAATGCTAGTTTGTTTAAATAAAAGGTACCTAAATTTAATTAAATTAATCATAGAAAATGTAAGTGTAATTTGACTTTTTATATCTTTACATCGATCAATTTTATTTTATTTTTTTAATTATTATTTAATTAAAATTATTAATTTATCCAAATTTCACTCTACTTATTAAAAAGAACGCCAAAATCAAGTTCTAAATAAAAAGGACTCATTGATTGGATAATTGGAAAGTGTAGTGTGGAGCCGCATCGTAGAGTACAATTCTTTTAAATTAATTTTGATTTTTCGCCTCATGTCAAGGGACCCACAAAGAGAAGGTACAACACTGTTTAAGCGCACGCGTGGTGTACTGTCAAGCATGATCACCTGATTATTAACTCAACAGTGGGACCCACCCACTCCCCTATTTCTTATTTTATCCTACTTTTTTTTTTTTATGTAAATCCAATTATCCACTCTAAACTATTCTACTTGCCTCCTCTAATCATTAATCTCATTAATAAATAATTTCATATAAATTGTGACATCACCAAATAACATTAAATGATAGCAAAAAATAGTAATGTATATAAAAAAATATATAAAATATGATGATATAAAAGAAATGTGAATACGTAGGACAGGTAATCGTGTCATGTGGCCCGAATTTGGGTTGACTCAAACTCATATATCATCGGGGCTCATTACTATAGGCTCAATTTTATATCGCGCTGATAACGAGCAGGTCCACTAATCCGATTACACAATTCAAAAGAGCTCACGCAAATAAAAAACAAAATCACGAAATAATGGTTTACAGGCATACCAGACGACCTAAAAATTACTCGAAAAATAAATTATTTTGAGGGTTTGTTGTAAGATTAATAATTTTCGATATACTCGAAACGCAACAAGAATAATATTTACATAATATTCTAAAAGATTGGGATTAGACTAAACAAGGAAAATATATCAATGGTGCTTTGGCTAAGATTTTTGTCCTAACATCCTTTTGTAACTTGATGTAAGCACCATAGAATGAGTTTGATGAAAGATTTTATTGAAGATTTGGGATCTTAGCCTTTTCCTTTGAGTCAATTCTTATATGGATCATGATGTATATTTTTTTTTTTTCATCTTTATCTTTTGCCCACAATGATTGGTTAGTGAGTTTTTAACTTGAGTTATGTCAAGGCTAATCATAGGATCCACATCACATAGTATACATCATTAAATAAATATATATTGAAATATATATATATATATATATATATATATATATATATATATATATATATATATATATAAGTCGGTATGTACTCCATGTTCAAAATTATGGATGAAAATCAGACAAGTCGTATCTAAATCTACATTTTCGAAAAAAATCTGGAATTTAGCCCATATACGAGAAAACTGAGGCCAAACTTATAAATTATAAATATTATCGTGGCGTTTGATTATCGTGAGGAATTAAATATCATTTTTTTTACTAATACTATTTTGACTTCGAACGTAATTTTGACATTTTTCTAAATAGATATTTTGCAAACTTTGAAATGTGAAAAATGTAGTTCTTTGAGTTAGCTTTCTAATACAGTTTAAATCGGTTAGATTGAATGTTAGGTGACAAAGTTATGCATGAATGATTTACATTTTGGTTTTAGATTTTTCAAAATATCAAAGTCGTTCGCACTGACTATTAATTCATGTATATCTTTTTCACCCAAAACACAATCTTGGTGATTCAATTCGATTAGAAAGCTAGCTCAAAAAGCAACAAATTCACACTCGAAAATAATCAGAATCACGTTTGAAGTCGAAACATTATTTCTAAAACTGAAACGACGGCATTTATAATACCTCAAGGATTTGCAGTTTTTTTTTAAATAGCTAGAATTTTTAATAATTGAATTGAAATTTGAAATGATATTCTTGAAAGAAAAAAAAAACTAGACAAGAAATCCAAGGAAATCAATTTCAAGACGATTTGTTGAATAATGATTTGATATGAATTTTGGTATAAAGCACATGGTATTCGTGCTAAGTGAATTGAAAAGTAGCATCCATCCCATGTGACAAACTTGAAGAACAAACAAATCGAAATAAATCGAAATATGACATGTCCAATTCAATTCTTTAATAATAGAAGAACATAAGTAATTTTTTTTTTAAATTCAATTATTTACCACTCACAAAAATATTTAATACATTGGGTAAATAGCGACCACTCATATACTAAAATCAAATTACGAAAAAACCCATGATGTTTGGATAAAAACAACCAACCCCTCAACTACGAATCTCTTTACACGTCCACCCTTATGACGTTAAATTCAACAGAATCTTCTAGATTATGTGGAATGTTCTCTAATCTGTATTCGTTTTATGCAAAAATACAGTTTCAAATGCGCCACAATTTATGATCATCTTATTTCAAAATGTGGAGCTAGAATGGGGTAAAACGAGTACAAACTAGAGAATATTTCTACATGACCTAGAAAATTTCACTAAACCTGACACCGTAAAGATAGATGTATAAAAAGATCATAGTTGAGGAGATCATCATGATTACCTAAACCAACCAGAAGAGTTTTTTCGTAATTTAACATTACATCATAAATAACAGTAATTTAAAGCTTTTGTCGACGTAGTACAAATAATAGTAACACAAAGACAAGGGTACGACTTAGGATGTTGTTTTAATGTTTTGGTATGTCTAGTCTCATCGGTCAATTTCAATACTTGATTTTTTTTTTTAATTGTATTTTGGATTTTTCAATATGAACAATATTCAACATTAAATCATTGTTTGGAACTCATTTACTTACATTCTTAAAAGACAAGCATTTCACAATTTTTTTACTATTTTAATTTATGAAAAATTACTATTTTTCGATATGATTTACTCACTAATTATAAATACACGTGGGTATGTGTTACTATATATGTAGATCAATAGTATAAAACCGCGTCGTGTATTTCACCAACACCAAAAATCACTCCACCAGAATTAACAATTGGATACATCACTGAAAGTGAAAAACTATATCAGCTATATACACTATACAGCAAACACATCAATTTTTTTAAACCTAAGGTAAAAAAAAAAAATTACGAAATTGCCGGTCGAATTTGCAGTGACTTAGCCTCGAAATTCCTTAATACAAACCGGACCCTTACGCGTCTTATACTTCACCGAACAATCGTGAATCAAATCTTGAATTCCAACGAACGCAACCAAAAACTTCGCAGCATCGGTCTGGCTCAGCACCTTCTTTAATGCAAGCTCTAGTGCCTTCATCCTGCAAATTATTATTTTTATTAATTACAAAAACAATTCAATTAAGAATTATAAATAAAGAAAAAAGAAAGAAACGAACCTTAGATTTTGGGCCTTAACGACGACGCGATGGATCTTCTTGAACTCGGACCTAACACGGTCGAGGTGGGGCCCATTTTTAACGGGGCCGAAGGGTAGTTGGAGGACGCAGTTGGATTGGATCTCGGCCATTTCCTCGTCTATAACAGCCTCCTCGATTCGGATATCGTTGATGAGCTGGCAGAGGGCACGGTCGACTCCGAGTGGGTCCCACAGGGAGTGGGATAGGGAGTGGAGGAGGTGGAGGATGGTGGAGGGGCGCCAGTCGCCGAACCAGTAGAGGGCGGCGAGCTCGTGGGGTGGGGCCCACTTGGGCTTGAGGATGTTTGCCACGTCGGACATCTTGGTGGGTTGAGTGTGGTGGGAGCGGAAGAGGGAGAGGTGGTGTTCGATGAGTTTTTGGATTTCCCACCTTGCCTTTAGCTGTTTCTTCAGCTTTGATGCTATGATTCTTTGTTCTTGTTTCCATGTGCCGTGTTTCTCGGCCGAGAACGAGTGTTCGTCTGATTGATATAGAATGCTTTTGCGATTAGTGACTCTACACACACACACACACACACACACACACACACACACAAGAAACAAGATAGTTTTGAGGCAAGTAGTCTGTAATCTCACACACACACACAGAGAAGAAGATAGTTTTGAGACAAGTAATCACACACACACACACACACACACACACAGAGAAAGAAGAAGATAGTTTTGAGACAAGTAATCACACACACACAGAGAAGAAGATAGTTTTGAGATAAGTAATCACACACACACATACTCACACACACACACACTCACACTCACACACACTCACACACACACACACACTCACACTCACACACACATACACATAAGAAGATAGTTTTGAGATCTGTAATCACACACACACACACACACACACACACACACACACATACACACTCACATACACACACACACACACACACATAAGAAGATAGTTTTGAGACAAGTAATTACATACACAGAGCACACACAGACAGAAGAAGATATATATATATATATATATATATATATATATATATATATATATATATATATATATATATATATATATATATAACACAAGATATATCACTCTCTCTCTCTCAGACTACTATCAAAAGAAGATGGTTTTCAAAGAATTAATCACACACACACACACACACACACACACACACACACACACACAAAACGCACACGCAGAGAAGAAAATGTATAGTTTAGAGACAAGTAATTAATAATACATACACAGAACAACCAGAAGAAGATAATTCTGAGACAAGTAATCTGTAATCACACGCACCCACACACAGAAGAACAAGATTCTGTTATGACTTAAAACGCATTCAAATTTTGCATCGCATTCATGAATGAAAAACATATAAATTGGGGGAAGGGCAAAAATCAAGAAAATTAAAGATGAAATCTTTACGTAGTTTTTTGACTTGTCGTTTGTCGTGAATAGTCATGCGTGCAGCTTGCTCGGAAATGGAGTCAACTTCTCCGAATTCTTCGTCGTCTTCTGCCACGTCATCACCATCATCGTCCTCGTCAACTTCTTGAAAATGACGCCTGCAACAAAAAATTAAAAAAAATAGGGTTTATACAAATTTCTGATTGGGGAAAAAAAATAGAAATTGCTTGATTAGGGTTGAAGATTATTGAAATTGTTTTTACAGCATTGATTGAGACGGAGCTCTCTTCATTCTTTCTTCCACTGATTCCTAATTTCTACTCAAAGTGTGTGTGTGTGTGTGTGTGTGTTTTTATTGGGGAAATTTGTTGTTGTGAAAAAAAGAAACCGATTGTTGAATAATGTGGGCTACTGATATGGGTCCCCTTTTTATAGATTACGACGTCGTTTTGGGTATGATATAGGCGATGGGAGTTTAGCCTTCCTAATTAAGCTTAATTATGGGATCTAGCTTATAATAAGTAATAACCTAATTATAAAAAAAAATGTAAATAATTTTTTTTTCCTGCTGCTATGTTCTTAAGTGAGGAAGTCGGACTGATTAGATCGAAATTAACACAAATATTTTTTCTTGTATAATCACTAAGTGAGGAAGTCGAACGGATCAAATCGAAATTAGCACTTTTTGATTTTTTTTTCCAACCTTGAAAATCAGAATTTCGGACATTGGAATTAAAAAAAAAAAAAATTATTTCGAACTGGAAATTTTCGGTGCGGAATCAACTGAATTCAAAAGGTTCCAATTATTGGTGGTAAAATATTGAAAGAGTAAGGGCAATTAAAAAAAAAAAAAAATAAGAGTAACTTGCTTATAAGTGACGACTTCGTTGCCTCTATACATGTCGTACGAGTTACATCGATCCGACGAGTCGGGATTTCTCTAGTTGTATTGAAGGTAGCATTTCGCCCCTGCTAAACTAACTACACGACTAAGCTGAAACGAAAAGATAAAACTCGTAATTATTCAATATTCATCGATAATTCATTCTTTCACATTCTTTTCGTTTCTAATGTTGAAAATTCGAACACGAAATTAGCTGCTTCAGAGAATGTGTTAACTTCGATTTCGGCACCGGAAAATCCAATTCTTCTCCGCAATTTAAGTACTTTCGCTCCTCCTCGTATTCATCTTCACTAGTAACATTCGTCCTGGAAGCAAATAAATTTGTCCGTTTTTTCAATAAATCCGAAAAAAAAACAAAAAAAAAAAAACGCATGCAGCTCTGCTTACGCTAAACACTGTTTCGAGTCGATACTCTGAATATCCTCGGATTGGTGTGGAGTCGATGCAAGGTCGATTCTCAAATGCTGGATGAAGTGAAGCTGAACTTTTTTAAGGAATAAATATTAGTATTATATTATAGTTCAATTGGAACAGAGTTTTTAACCGCTGTGGTGTCAGTTTACGGAACAACATAGACCTGATCACCATCTTTGATTCCGTATTTTCGAATGCAAGCTTTTTCGCTGATTAGCTTTTGACCTTCGTAACATAAACAAAAGTGGCTCCACACAAGCGGCCTGCCAAGCAAAAGAGTTCGAATATAATTACGAAAAAAATATTTATAGTTTCGTAACATTTTTCACCACCTATTTCATAACAAAATCAAGAACTACACACCCGTTTTTTCCATCGTATGAAATTTTTCGACGAAGATGAAAACGCAACATTTTCTTTCTGTGATAAACAAGGCTGAAATTTCCGACACTAATACAGCTAAAAAAATAATTTATGATAGAAGCGATAGGTTTAGTTCTCGAACCGGACCATTTTTAGTAGATGCAATTACGCAATTATATTATAAAACATGAGATTGTGGACACATAATCCTAGGTGTCTTTCGCCGAGAATTGAATTTCGAAAAAAAAAATACGAAAATCTATAATAAATAGAGAAAAAAAATATCAAAAAATTCGCGATTAAATCGGAGTCGAAATTGGGGGGGAAAAATCGAATCTTTAACATCTAACACATAAAAAACACTCACCAAGATTTCAAGAATACACACAAACATCATAATTAATAGGAAAAATAAAAATAAAAATAAAAATTGGAGTTTTATTACACCCCATACAAATACCATGTTTTTTTTCTTTCATCGTTTGGGTAAAGGCTAAATTCTTCCTCAATGGCTAATTTAAGCCTAGACACAGTAGCATTTCTTGCCACGTGGAAACCTGCACCAAAAAAAAATTAAATAAATCAACCCCCAAAAATGAAACCCTAAAAGGGGAGAAAAGAAAGAGAAACGAGCAAAACGGTGTCGTATTAATAATTACTGAAAGAAGATCCGTCCAATTTAAGAACAGAGAGTTTGAGGAGCGGCTCCGGCAGCTTTCGGTATTTGAGATTTCTGCTGCAGAGATAAAATTGGATTAACTTTTTGGCGGGGCGAATTTTTTTACCCGTTTTCGACAAATCCTTCACCATCGAATCCGGTTCTTGGATTTTTCTGCAACTAATTTTTTTTTTTTTGGGCAACTATGAAAAGAAGAAGAAGGAAGAAAAATAAAATAATGTTTTTACTCTGCAAATGGTATATTTGCTTTTTGAAAAAGGTGACCGTTGTGTTTATTTGTTTTGACTGGAGGGAATGTTTGGCAAGTAAGCGCAAGTTTTAATTTTTTTTCTTTTTTTCTTTTTTTAAGAAAAATGCTTTTAGATAATTTTATTTTATTATAAATTAGGGTAAATTACGGCCACGCCCCTGAGGTAAAGCAAATTACGAAAACCCCCATCATGTTTGGTAATTACAACTTCACTCATCAACTATGAATCTTCTTACACGTCCATTCTTGCGGTGTCGAATTTAGTGTAATCTTCTAGATTATGTGGAACATTTTCCAGTTTGTACCCGTTTTATCCCATTCGAGATCCACATTTTGTAACAATATGATAATAAGATGTTGACTCTTGACTTGTAAATATCAGATTGTGGTGCATCGAAAACTGCATTTTTGCACAAGATTATGTTGAATTTGACACCATACACGTGGACGTGTAAGAAGATTCATAGTTGATGGGTGGTTGTAATTATCCCAATATAAAAGATTTTTTTTGTAATTTAACCTTAACTTAAGGGGTGACAGTAATTTACCCTAATATTTACGGTTTTAGATAATTTTATCTTATTCTAAATTATTTGTTATTTTAGAATGTCAATCATGCAGTAATAGCATTTTTTTTCTCAATTTTGTGATTTATAATTATGAACTCTTGAAATAGAATTAGTTTATAAGCAATTAATAAGAAGGGTATTTTCGTCGCTATATGTGTTTTTCCCTATAATTTATGTATATTTATTGATTTTCTTAAGACACGAACAACAAGAATGACTATTACTTTGGCGAGATATTTGAATCGAGAAATGGCAAAAATATGAGTATCTCGACGAGGATCTCTTCTAGCCCGACTCGATTTACAGAGTCTACATTCAGATATAACAATTAAAACAAAAGTGTTTTTTTTAAATCCTTTTTTTTTGGCATCACAAAAATACAACCAATAGGTACAAAACCATGCAAAATCAAAAACAGAATATTTACAAAAGAAAATATATTTTTTTTCTTTAAAGGAGAAAAATTAAATATTACATGTCACAACTATTACATTAGATGCAAAAAAGATCCATAATTTAAACATTTTCAATTTCCTCCTCCTCTTCTTCTTCTGCAACCACACTCTCCTTAAACATTTCATCACTTTCCAAACAAGAAAACTTCTCTTTATCAACCCCTCTCAACAATTCCACCACCTCAAGAATCGCGGGCCTCTTTTCGGGCCGTTCGTGGGCGCAAATCAAGCCCACAAACACAACCCTCTTCACCTCTTCCTCAACATACTTCCCATTCAATCTCTTGTCCGCAAGTTCATCGAACTTCTTCTCACGGGCCAAAGGTAGGGCCCACTCCACAATCGACCGCTTGTTATTATCCGTTGTTGTGGGACCCACTAGCTTCTCCAATGGCTTCTTGCCACTAACGAGCTCGAGCAAGAGAATACCGAAACTGTAAATATCGCAGCTCTCGGGGGTGGCGAGATGTCCGATTTGGGTGCCCTCCACTCCCGTGGTGACATGTGTCGCGCCGTCGGGTATGAGCTTCGCGAATCCGAAATCGGCAACTTGGGCTTTGAAATCGGCGTCGAGCAAAACGTTGCTCGATTTTATGTTGCGGTGGATTATGTGTGGGGTTGCTTGGTGGTGTAGATATCTGGTGTAGAACAAGTTTTAGGAAGATAGTGAAAGCAGTAGCCGTGTTATATCAA